GTCCGACTACAGTATTAAGATGCACGCACTGGCGTCCGCGGGAACTTATGTACTCCGCAATCTGGATCTAGTGGTGCAGGTGAATAGTATGCGATTTGAACTACTAAATCGGAACAGATTCTTACTATTGGATGCTGGGATGTACGAACGTTCCTGAAAACAAAGTCTGACAACGCGCTGTCTGTCTGCAATTCGAATTTCCGACTCAGACACTCGGGAAATAAAGATCCCGAAAGCGAACCCAAACTTCGAACTATCACAGCAGTCCACGCGACCCCCCTGACCGATCTGGTTTGGCGATCGCCCTCTCACAATTAGCGGACTATACACTACTTGGTTGCAAACTAATTATTTATCGGATTACATACTTGCGACTGAAAGCCTTCGTTAGGATCAACTCGGTGATTCACGTTGACAATGTGCGCAAAAATAGAGCCTGATATTGATCTAGCTTCGCCTTTATTTAGCCAGGTCGATATGAATTCACGTACCCTCTATTCCAGGCGCCTCATTGTTCGGCCAATCCATCCTGTTCCACAGAAGTATGCGGAAGAGTAAATACACATAAATGTGGCCCCAATGGCAGTCGGTCTTTACCTCCCAATAGTAGGTGGTAAGGGTTCGTAAATAACACGCGTAAGTTCCACGCGGGGAAAGTGCTTGTGAATGCTGTCTTAAGACGTTGTATCAGTCCGTTTGTTGCATCGCGTAAGAAAGAGTTTTATGAACACGTCCTTCTTTTCTGCGCTTAGAATAGCAGGCTTTTGGTGCGGTCGCTAACATTCCGGAGGATGAAACTTTTTGAGTATGCATTTTCGAGAAGCGTGTTCTGCAGCTGCTGGAGTTCTGCTTCGACAGTTTTAGGAGAGCAGTTTCATTTCATTCTAGCTGCCAATCCCTGGACTAAATTTCGTTTTTTTTAGGGGAGGAAAGCTGTGAAGATTGGTGTATTGTCTCGTCCAGATGTGCGGTTGTTTTGTGTCTTTCTGTTAGCTGTTATGAGCAAGTTTAACCAAAAAACATTAGACTAACCATTCGTGTGGACCAGTCTGATTTAGAAAAATACCTCTCCCTTTTCAGCACGCGGGATAAAAGCCCAAATAGGTGTTTAAGCACGTTGCAGCACTGCTTTCATCCCTGTCACTTCGAATCAGCGCAGTTTTCCCATCTGCATTGGTTGCATTCCCTTGCTTCAAGCGCATGCATTTCTTGTGCTTTAGGACCGTTCACGCGACCCCACCCTTTGGTCTGGCGTGTGGTATTTGGCGCAAGTCTCCTGTATTTCCTCAGCATTGTGTTTGTTTTGTTTCTGCGACTGGAAGACGCCCGCAAGATACTATTTTATTTGGATCCTGCCCTACGAAAAATGCGACATTGCGACATCCTAGACAAGGAGTATGCGGTCAATTGTAGTCAGGTAAGGCAACCTGTCTTATTTCTGTTCATATTCTCTTCCAACATTTTCATGTTCATCACGGTTCTATCAGCACCTGCAAAATATTTCGAGAATTCCCCGGGGTTTGTATGGAGACCAACGATCGAACGTGTGATCAAATTCCAGACTGTTAGAAATGACAGAAGGCCCCAGAATGAGGGATTTACTGAGACAGAACCCTGATTTGCTGTCTCACGCAGCAGTGGCTACTGGCAAATCCAGATTAGTGTTGTCTGCGTCCAGCCAGTCCTAAGAAAATGTGTGTGTGAGAGAGAGAGCAGTGGCAGCTATTTTTAAGTGATCGTGAAGCAAGTTCGAATGGTGTGTTGTTAGTGTATTGCATTATCCGAGGTAGTGTCACTTATAGAGGCCCTTGGCCGAGGAGTGGTATTTTCAAGTGGCCCTTTGGCAGCCGCGACTACGTTGACGCGCGCGCGGGGAAGTCGGTCAAAGGTTGTCAGGTCAGCTAGTTGCAAGCAGCTGTCCGCGAAGTTGCAGAACATTGGTACAGTGGGCATTGGACAAGGGAGCCGGACAGCATCGTTGGCTGTCCACCACAGGCCAACGATCGAATACGTGGCCTCACTCAAAAGGCGGGAGGCAAAGTCTCCTGTGATATACGGACAGTTTATAAGCGTGGTGTAATCAAAATTGAAGGGAAGCATTAACTTGCTTAAAAATGTGCAAAACTGCAAATTAGAAGCCTTGGATTGTTTTAGAGTTGCGCAAATTATAATCAGAGAATTTAGAAGACTAGTTTGGCGAGCGTACGTATGCTTTCGTACGTTCGCCATTCTAGTCTTACGAAACTAGAAGCCGTAAATGGGGAAAAAAACTGAACACATTTTGTAAATATTGCGGACAAATTTATACCAGCATGTGATGCCAAATCAAATTGAAAAAGAAGGTAGGAGGAATATGCCTTACCTTGGCCCTAAAATCCTAATCTTAACCTGGAATTGTAATTCTTTATCCCTAACCTTTGGCCAAACACTGACCCTAATGGCAACACTGAAGGTAGACGTGACGATCACTCAGCGAAATAAGAGTGGGTTGACTTAAGATAAACAAATGACTTAAGTAGTTATCGTTGGAAGTGAAGAGTAGGTGGGGCCACATTTGCGATCGTTATCGTATTGAGACACCAACCCCAAACTTATTTTCAAGAAGTGGCACTAAGATAGTTCAGTATATTTAGGGTAATAGGCAATGTCCTTAAAGGTCATACTCTTGGCGATGGTCCTGATCCTGCCTATGGCTGCACAGCCTTAAACGCGTATGCTGTGTGTATATACAGGACGATAGTTTGGTACACTCAAATAATCATTATGACCCAAAATGCATGTCGGGATTTGATGTTACCCTCATTTTGGTGAAGTTCGTAAGGGTGCGACGGACGTTACTCTTTATCCTGAAAAGTTTTAAACTGGAACCTCTGACTTTTGTGAAGAGGTCTGTCTTTGCAGCCAAGCACTACATAGAAATTCCTCAACGAAGCCTGCCATTCCACCTAACATTGTCCGCTTTAACCGTTTTTATGGGATAATGGAGCTCTGGCGGAATTTTCCCAGGACGATTGCTACTGAGTTGAGCAGTCTGTCCTAACCGACTATCAATCGAGTTGCTCGAAGAAGGTGGAAGCCTAGTGCATGCCTCTGTCTTGTCCGTAGAGGGGTCACGCCTTGGATTTTAATGGGTTCCTAACTAGACCTTTCAAGAAATTGAGTACTCAGTTGAATGCTAAAAAACTGGGTCTGTATAGGTATTTGGTATTGGACTGGGTAAGTTGCCAATGACTGATAAATTAGGAAATTATCAAGTTGCCAATACAGGAGAATATCCGAGTTCCAGGAAGCAGTTCGGAAGAA